CTGTGCTTTAGGCAGAGAACATTCATGATGTCATATGTGAACTAGAAGTATGTGTTATTGGCCAAGGCTGAGTAGTTTTCAGAATTGTTAAAGGTCACATGCACGTTAAAAGTTGACCAATGAAATGAATTTACAAAACAGTTTAAGAAGTGGTGACATTTTGCATTATGAATGACCTGACTTCTAGCCACCAGGTACTCTTTAAACAGTTTTCCTTATCAGAGGCCCTCCTGTGCTGGTGAGCCAGCATCTGAGTTAGGTTCCAGCACCTAAAGAGCTGGGAGGGCTGAGAATTCTTAGCATACATTCAGACTTTTTTTCTGCACAATAAGTCCATCTGTCACTTGCATTCCACTTTCTTTGTTATACAGAAAGAGTCTGACCCTTTAATCTAAAAGTTCTTTTTACATTGTGACTGCTGTGGGAAGGCAATTTCTCTGCACACAAGAGGCTGCGTTTTGGATGTGATGTATGCTATTTGATGACTGAAAATGAAAATGAACTGTAAATGCTCCTAGAGTATATTCTTCTGCTAAACAAAATTAAACTTTAAAAAATCTAATAGTAACACACGCCTGCTTGGGACCCTAGCTATATGCATTTTATGTGACCTTGCCATGCTCTGGTGAACATACTATTTCTATGTCTAGCACATGTTGATTTCCTATTAAAGGAAACTTTGAACTGTGTCTATTTTGCTTTTTATTCTGTTTTGATGTCCTTCTATAAATAGCTTGGACTGGATCCCTGATTCCATAGACAGGGTCTGAGCCACTGGGGATGAGGGGTAGCAGTTGTTGGAAACATATTAGACAGCACCTATTTTTTTCCCTGCAATATCACCCACTTATTCCCTTTCTTCCTTTCAGATTTTAATGTTAACAAGGAAGAATAAAGCAAATAATCCTTTTGTCACCACTACTAAAAATGAGACTCTATGGAAATGCTTATATGTTGAGGGAGAGGCTATAAAGTGACACATGGTGGCAGCAACTATACAGAAATGAACTTTATATACAAACTGGAAAGGAATATGCGAAAGTGAAAGCAGTTGTGCTAAAATGGTGGCACTATACTGCCTTTTGTCTGATTTTCTGAAATAAGTAAAAAGAACAAACTGCAAACGAAGGTGTAATATGAATCTACTTGTGTAAAAAGATGTATATATGTTATCAATATGTATGGAAAATTTCATTTAAAGAGTTCACATGAAATCTAACGGTGGCTCTTTGGGGAGAGAGCAACTTAGAGGTTGAGACAAGAGGCAGAGAAAGATTTTTTACCTTTCTATTCCTGCGAGAATTCTGTATGTCCTATCCTCCAAATTAAGAAACAGACGAAAATGAATGTCGAAAGAAGCCATCCCAACAAGCGCCGAAAGTCTGGGTTACGTCAGTCAGGAATCTAGCTGTTTCACAACTGTTCTAAGACCAGCCAGTTGACATGCTGGATTGTGTTTTAAGAACTAGCTATTAAAAAGGAGGTAGCTTTATGCAACTACAGTTGTTCCCAGCCTCCCATTACTGCCAGGCATCTTAGCAGACACCTGCAGAGATGTGGGTCCAACAAGGCTAGGTGTGCTTGCAGTGAGGTGGAATTGGGCTTCCAAAGGTTTAAAAATATTTAATGACGAAGTTGGAGATACCATCTTTGGAGGTTTCTAACTGATAATATCTCCAACTTCTTCCTCATTAAATGTTTTTTAAAAAGTGCCCCTATTGACATTAAGAACCATACTTTTTTTTTCATAATTAGATTTACAAACAAGTCTATTAGCTCAGGTCATCTGGAAAACAGTAAATAAAATGAATACTTCCTAGAATAGCACAGGACAGCCCCCTTAATTCTGATATTTCCATTCATAAGAGGACCACTTCTTCATAAATGGATGAAAGGAGTACCACTGACATAGCTAGTATTGTTGGTCCATTAATGACTCCTTAAATATGTCTAAGACCTAGTCCCTGGAACCCGTATGTTATTTTACATGGCAGAAAGGGACTTGGCAAATGCTTTTAAAGTTATGGACCTGACACGGACACATTATCCTGGATTATGTGGGTGGGCCCTTAAAGGAAAGAAGGCAGAAGAGACTGTGAGGGAGACTTGGCCCAAGAAAACGCAGGAAAGGTGAGGCCAACAGAAAGAATCTATGTGCCAGCCAGGCGCGGTGGCCTGTAATCACGCCTGTAATCCCAGCACTTTGGGAGGCTGAGGTGGGCGGATCACGAGGTCAAGAGATTGAGACCATCCTGGCCAACATGGTGAAACCCCATCTCTACTAAAAATACAAAAAAAAAAAAAAAAAAAAAATTCCTGAGTGTGGTGGTGCATACCTATAATCCCAGCTACTCAGGAGGCTAAGAGAGGAGAATCACTTGAACCCAGGAGGCACAGGTTGCAGTGAGCTGAGATTGTGCCATTGCACTCCAGCCTAGGCAACAAGAGCAAAACTCCATCTCAAAAAAAAAAAAAAAGGAAAAAAGAAAGATCTATGTGCTGCTGCTAGCTCTGAAGATGGACGGGACCAGAGCAAGAGAAGAACGCAGTCCCTCTGACAGCCAGCAAGGAAACAGGGACCTCAGTCCTATAGCTGCATGGAAATGAAGTCAGCCAACAACCTGCACAAGTCTGACATGGGTTCTTCCTCAGATCTCCAGGTAAGAACCCTAACAGGCCCCAGCTGACACCTTGATTTTAGCTTGGTGATATCTGTGTTGGACTTCAGACCTACAGAAGATATAATAAATTTGTGTTCTCTTAAGCTGGTAAATGTGTGGTTGTGATAGAAAACTAAGGTAGTATAAGATGGAAGGACGAAGAAGATAACATCTAATTCTCCTGGAGACATCAGAGATACACTGTACTAGCAATTTCTTAAGTATGAGGTAGGTAATCCTGGAAATTAGCTTGGGCAAAAGTTGCAAAGGGCCCTGTCTGGAAGGAGGCTTCCTGCATGTACCCAGTGCCACGCCTCTGTCACTCTTGTCAGCCTGGTGGGCCCACATCCCCTCTCACTGCAGGCTGCAGTGCTGAGCTGTGTGCCAGAGTAGGTCAGTTCATTCTCTTTCTCACCAGGGTTTCTTACATTCCTGGCTAGCTGGGAAATGGTCAAGAGTATTCCATACCATCTCAGCATAGAAGCCTCGTTTTCTTGGTCCTGTATTTTAACCTTCCCCAACCCTGAAATTCTTTCCTTGAGTGTGTCTTTGAAAATCACCAAATCGGGCTGGGATAGAGAAAACAATGATTAGGGCTTCTGTTGTAGAGGCAGGTGATCAATTTATTTATTTAAGTGGGAAAAACTAAATGACTTTAGGGGCTTTTTACAAAGACCTTTAGCACTTAAAAGAAATTACCTGCAGAAGACTGAAGCTGGACTGCTTCCTTAAACCATATACAAAAATCAACTCAAGATGGATTAAAGACTTAAATGCAAAACCCAAAACTATAAAAACCCTGGAAGATAACCTTGGCAATACCATCCTGGACATAGGAACAAGTAAAGATTTCATGACAAAGATACCAAAAGCAATGGCAACAAAAGCAAAAATTGACAAGCGAGATCTAATTAAACTTAAGAGCTTCTCCACAGCAAAAGCAACTGAACAGAGTAAACAGACAGCCTATAGAATGGGAGAAAATACTTGCAAACTATGCATCTGACAAAGGTCTAATATCCAGCATCTACAAGGAACTTACATTTACAAGAGAAAAACACCGCCCCTCCCCGCCCCCTTTAAAGAGTGGGCAAAGGACACGAACAAATACTTCTCAAAAGAAGACATGTGTGGCCAACAACCACATGTAGAATAGCTCAATATCACTGATCATTAGAGAAATACAAATCAAAACCACAATGAGATACCATCTCACACCAGTCAGGATGGCTGTTATTAAAAAGTCAAAAACTATCAGATGCTGGCATGGTTGTAGAGAAAAGGGAACACTCATACCTTGCTGGTGGGAGTGTATTATTAGTTGGAAAGCAGTAATGAAGATTCCTCAAAGAGTTAAAAGGTAGCAAACTACCATTTGACCCAGCAATCTCATTACCGGGTATATACCCAGAGGAATATAAATCTTCCTGCCATAAAGACATGCATGCAAATGTTCATTGCAGCACTATTCACAATAGCAAAAACACAAATCAACCTAAATGCCCATCAATGACAGATTGGATAAAGAAAATATGATATATATATATACACATACACATATATATGCCATGGAATACTATGCAGCCATAAAAAAGAATGAGATCATGTCTTTTGCAGGAACATGGATGGAGATGGAGGCCAGTATCCTTAGCAAATTAAAACAGGAACAGAAAACCAAATATTGCATGTTCTCACTTCTAAGTGAGAGCTAAATGATAATATCTTATGAATACAAAGAAGGAAACAACAGACACTGGGGTCTACTTGAGTGGGGAGGGTGGGAGGAGGGAGAGAAGCAGAAGAGATAACTACTGGGTACCAGGCTCAGTATCTGGACAATGAAATAATGTGTATAATACGCCCCTGTGACACGTGTTTACCTATGTAACAAACCTTCACATGTACCCCCAAACCTAAAAGTTAAAAAAAATGCAAACAGTTAAAAGAAAATTATCAAAGCTAATCAGATATCCTCCATTATTATCTCTAAACCTTAGTTCTACCTATAAATGAAACACTTTTTTCCAATAGTAAATATTTCTTTATATATACAAAAATATCTTACCAGGAGTATGTAATCTCACAGATTAGACATTTCAATAATTTTTGTTTTGGACAGCACATGGAAATATGTGAAAAGATTTATAGGGACAGTTTCTGAAAAATCAATACTTAAATTGTACTGCAGGAAAATTTTATTTATACAACAATAGCAATAATGTTTCTTTTATACAGAAACTAATAATACAATTACCTGAAAAGCAGCAGCAATTAATTTTTCTTTTTAAACTTCTTAATCAGAAACTTAAGCAGCTTGTTCAGCTTTGATTTTCAGATTGCTAACAAGCATTCTGCCCTCCAATTTTTTTTTTTTTTTTTTTTTAAAGATTCTCTTCTACAGTTACTTCGAAGACTAGAGGTTTAAAAAAGCATGCGTCTGTGTTCAAAGAAAAGATTTACCAAAACGAACTGGGATGGGGGGAAAAGGAAGAATAAAAAATTCCCACAGTAAGGTTTTCACATCAAATACTCACCATAAGCTCTAACAGAGCTCAACATTACATGGAGAAATTGCACTTGTTGCTGAATACTAGTGCTCATTCTTCTACAACAGAGTCCAAAATATCACTTCTTTTAAAAAAAAAAAAAATCTGTTACTGAAGAGACAGAAGTCAGTCAGCAATTCTTTTTAAGAGGATACAGAGACATAAGAAATATTTATATTGTATTTCAAATACAGATTAGCTAAGCTACGCCTGAAATCTGGTTCTACCTGAAAAGATGGAGGCATTTCTCATTTGGACCATGTTTACCAGGACAAGTTTCATGTCTTTAAAGCAATGTTACTTACACTACTGTCCACCTCTCCTATTTAAGAATAAGATGAAAACCACACATTTTAAATGGTAATGACTTTTGGTTTAATGTTGGTAATTTACAGCTGATGAGTTTTTACATACATCAGATGAGTATACTTTTTTCCTGTTTAAGTTAATTAATTAGGCTTCCTCCAAGCTCCCAGGCTACTTTGATAGGAGGAGAGCCAAATTTCATATATGGCCTGCCATATTTATATGTTTCTTCTCCTGGCTTGCTGTTGGCTGAAGTACAATAAAGACATCTATTTCCAATTTTAAGACCTTTTTGGCTTCTGTGGTAGCACCACCACCTATTTCATAAGATTCAAAGACAGTTGCTTTACAAGCAGTAAATCACTCTATCTTCGGATTTTATTGGTGGCTTTTACCTTAACTATAGATGTGTTCATTCCGTTTACATTGGAGATTAGAAAATAGTAAGAGCCAGTAGGAGGGGAAAAAAGGAAGAGAACTATCCCTTCTGATCGACTTTTGTATGTGGACATAAGTCAAATTTTATCACACCACTGCATTATCAGCCAATGACTGAGAAGCAATTAGAAAGTAATAACTAAAGTGGATTAATATCTGGATTCTGAGGTTCACAAACTAAAACCTCACTGTGAATGTTTTTTTCTACAAAGAAATAGACGCCTTTTAAAATTAATGGTATGGGTAAAACAATAGGGCTACAGTGATTTCAGGTATAAGGATAAAAAGTAGGACAGTTTTCAGGGGCAAAGATCAGAGTCTTCTGGTGTAACCAAGTACTGGAATGTTTGCTTACATTTTTTTGACTTGTGAGTGGTCTGGCTGGCAGCAAGGATTTGTTAAGGGTTTGGATTTAGTACGGGTTATAAGCTAAAAGGGACTTTCTGATTAGGACTAAGAGAGCAGAACAGACCTTCTTCCGGCTGAAACTTTATCTGGGGCTATTTTAAAACTGGAAGAAGAATTCCTGAAAAGTATTCACCATTCACTACATTACTTCAGAAAGAGGTACACTTTAAAATAACTAAATAAGGATTTTTCAGTTCAGCATATCAGTTACCACATCACAGTTACAAATTACAAATTAGAATTTAAGGCAAAGACAAATATTAACTTAGCCTTACTTAACAAGTAGAATAGTAATGATAAAGGGAAGTATAAATTTCATCGAAGATCACAGTCAGAAGTCAGAATTAGGATCTACCCTGTCTTTACTTTTATCACTAGAGAATATTTTTTTAAAAGTACTGCAGTGTCTTACCAAAATGGTGTGAACCATGCTTACTTTAGAAATGATATATCATCATTCTTTCGCTGTTTAGTATGTTAAGGACTCATGTTCGAATCCGTGCATTTTTCAAAAACCATTCCAAGAACACAGAAGGTAGCATGATGAATTACGGGAAATATTTTAAAAAGAATATAAACTGCAAAACGCTAGAACAAAAATGCAATTTAAAAATAACCTTACCTTAAAAAAATTATAGAACTGTCATTTTCCTCAGGTATACAATATATACTGGCATAAAAACTGACAAGATGCTCAATTATTAGTCAAATGTATTCTTAAATTTTGTGAGTATTCATTTGTACTATATACAATAATCCCATTATTTAAAAGAATGAATTTCTCCCAAGAATTCCAAATACATTACAGATGTTATTACATGAATTCTCACAGCAAATCTCTTGAAATAAGACAAGGGCAGGTACCATAATCTCAACCTGAATCATATTACAGATTCATTCAAAAGTTCAAATAAGAATTTCCCAAGGGGTTTCCATCCAGAACCCTGTCCTTTTTCCCTAAGAAAATTAAATTTACTATAATAATGACTACTTTCTGAGTTTCTCATATATTTTTCAGAAAGATTATCAGATTCAAGGTGGAACCAGAGCCTTTAAAAACAATCTAAAAAAAGTTTCAGAATGTCAAAAGAAATGGGAGTAATTAAAAATTTTAGAATGCTAGTTATAATTACATGAGTGAATACATTCAGTTTTATATTCATATATTTTGGGAGAATTTTACATATTATACACATAGCTGTATATATATATACACACACACACACACACATACATAATATATGGCAACTCAAACATTTAAAAAATGAACTGCTATGTATGTACATAAAACTTCAGGATTGCCTTTTTCATGTTTAGTTAAGGTTAATTACTATAAAATTATTGGCTCTCTAGCCTGTGATTTCTAGATAATGGAGTACTATTTCAGAAGTTACAAAAGTAAAATGTAAGTAGATTATTATTTTGAGCAATTTTCAAAATTGTTATCTTTAGTTTGCCAATTCAAAATAATTTTACCTAACTCTATGGCTATCCACCTTGAAAATCAACTCCAATCACTGGGATCATGACACTTGTTATACAGAAAAATAAGTACCATTTAATAATTTTTAAAGCAAGGATCATTTTTTATTGTCATTGGGATATGGTCAAAGCAGTTAGTATCTGGATATAATCTATAATGTCACACGGTTTTATCGCTAACTTGGGTTATTATCTAAATTTGCCTTAATAATCTATTTGTTGCTTTAAAGGAAACTTCTTAAAAACTACTATAAATATATCGGATTCTAGAATCTAGGGTTTAGGCTACTACTGCTGTAGGCATACTGGGTTTCTGATATAATTTCCATTTCAGAAAGCTATGTTCAGAAATTGTATAGTTAGAGTTAGCCAAAATAAACAAACTCCTGATGTATCTGACGTGATATTACCAAATACCACACAGAAATGGAGACTGCATAATAAAGGCATGGCTGTAATGAAGGTGAAAATTCTACTTTGTAGGGCTATCACATTTATTTCAGTAAGTTATGGTTAAATGACTTATCCAGGGATATCACCTCAATGGGTATTTGTACATTTGAAAATGAAAAAATATACATATATAGTCTTCAGTTGTGTACAATCATGCCCTGAGTGCTGAAATGTGGACATTCACCTATCCACAAGGAGCCCTCAGGCACATTAATGTGCTGGCACATCATGTTTCCCAAAAGCATATGCATGTGTGTGTCTATTTCAACCCTTAACAATTGCTCAACATCACTCTAAACCTTTTTCTCTTCCATAAAGCTAATTATTACAGATCTTCCCAAAAGAGAAGTTAACATTTCCTTGATCACAGCTATACTCTCATTACCTAGGAAGAACCCTGGGACCCCTGGGCTTCTTGCCCCAGCAGAGCACTGCTCATTCCTGCAGATTCATATGGGACTTGGGTTTCAAGTTCAATGATTCTTCATTGAGATACAATGAACTTATCTAAATGTATTCTTGTTAGCACTGGCATCTAGACTGAAATGAACTAAACTGCATCATTTCATATTAGGAGAAATCTAATATGCATTAATTAAATAGTCAATCAGGAATACCATTTATAAGAAATAATTTCTTTAAGTATATTTTCTAAGTAATACATTTTATATCACATAAGGCTAACAATATACATGACGTAAAAGTCATCTATTGTACCAAGATGATTGAAATATTTGGCAGATAAACTTCTTGTGCTGCTATAATTATCCCAAAGCTGTTTAAAGAGGCTCCATGCTGCAGCATGAAAGTACATTAGAGAATACAGCACATTTCCTGAGTGCAGAACTGAAATTTCTCTTAAAATTTCAAGTGTGTGTTAAAACATTAAGTCATAGGGCATCACCTTGACACTGTGCTTTAATTCATGTTGCTTTGAGAAGCCAAGAATTTGGTGTAAATACATGTAGTTTGAAAGTTTCCACAGTTATTAAAAGAGTATAATCCATTTTGTCACCAATTCCCTGCCCTGGGACAAGAAACGTGAATTTGTATTCTGGCAATGAAATCTAGAGTCAAAAAAAAAGAAAAGAAAAGAAAAGAAAAACCTATAGATTTCCAACTTTAGCAATATGACAACTTGGGTGTTTTGTTTTATTGTGAAAAAGATCCCTCAAAGTTCTCCCAGCTGGCATTCCATATGACAACCTTGGTGAGGGAAAAAACAAATTCAGCAGCCAGGTGTCTGGCACCTAACACTAGACAAAGATGACCATCAATATTTAAGCACCTAATCCTTTAAAGTGTGAATAATGTTTATATGAAAAGCTGGCAACAATACAGAATGTGGTTACCTTAATTTAATAATGAGTTGCATCTCTGAATGTATTTTAGGAAGAATTTCTATTATCCAAGAATCCTAAAGGAAGATATTAACTGAGGTGAATGTGGGAATTTGTATAAGTCAATGCATCTAAAGGACAACTTCTTTTGGTAATCATTAAACAAAAAGTACATTTCTTGGTTAGGTGCGGTGGCTCATGCCTGTAATCCCAGCATTTTGGGAGGCCAAGGTGGGCAGATCACTTGAGGTCAGGAGTTCGAGACCAGCCTGGCCAACATGGTGAAACCTCGTCTCTACTAAAAAAACAAAAATTAGCCGGGTATGGTGGCACGCACCTGTAATCCCAGCTACTTGGGAGGTTGAGGCACGAGAATCACATGAACCCAGTAGGCAGAGGTTGCAGCGAGCTGAGATCGTGCCACTGTACTCCAGCATGGGTGACAGAGACAGACTCCATCTCAAAACAAACAAACAAACAAAAAACAAAGTACATTTCTTAACAGATATGTAAAAAATATACAAAACATTTAATATATATTATATAATACATAATATACATATTATATAATGTATATATTTTGTGTGTATGTATACAAAACAGCTGACAATTATTTCCCAATTTTTTAAGTTGTTCAATGGATTTGGTTCTCAACACAACAGACAGAACAGGTACCCTAAGGATCACATCACATTTCCAAAAGCACATTGATTATTCACAAAAACCTACAACTGCAAACTTACAGGCATCTTTAAACATCACTAAAATTTGCAGAGGCATGATACATTTGCTGACCATGTTCTAATAAAAACATTATTTAAAGTAGTAGGTTCCTTTTGTCAGTTAAAATTTTACATGTGAAAATAAGCTTTCTTCAAGTGTCATTTTGCTGTAAGGTTTTACAGGATAAGGCACTCTCTCAGTCTGCATGACCTTGCTTCCAGCCTCAGAGCTTACTGTGTACACATTAAATTAGTATCATAACACTGCAACAAATAAAAAGAATAACCTCATAAGAGAGTGCAAGGTATTGCTCAATTTTTCAGTAAAGATAGAAATGAAGAGACGAAACTAATACAACTGTATAAATTAGAATGGATAGCCATACATCTCTGAAATAATGAAAATATGTAAACTGATCAGACTTTTGATGTCAGATTTAGATGGTAGTAGACTAGCTGTTAACACTGACATTAAAATTCTGCTTTTGTAAGAAATTTATAAGAAGGAAGGTCAATAACTATATTTTCTTCTATTAAGACTAACCCTTCACTATTTCAATACTGAACTAAATGACAGCTTTACAAAACTATTTCAAGTAATATTCATTATCACAGTGAAAATGTGAGACCAATGTTAAGAGTGAATGATTTGAAAACTCCTTTGATGAAAAAGGCAAGGGTACTAAATCAAAACATATACAAAATGCTTCAACGCATTTCTTTATGTGATATGAATAGAAAGATTATCCATACAAAGTTAGAAAAATTAAGATAAATTATATATTAGTACACCTTCCCAACCACAATTTATATAAAAATTCAGAACAGTGTACTGTTATTTCAATCTACACCATAAAAACGCCCGGACTTGGCAGATGATCTTCTAACTGTGATGTATTTTCTCAGTAGAAGGTTTAATTGTTGCAGTCACTTTTTAAAAGTTTAATTTTCATTGTTAACCTTACTGAATCATCAGTAAACCCAGCTGATTGGGACCCACTGCGGTTCCATTCTCAGTTTCTCTATGGCAGTTTGTAGTTTTTCAAAGGCTTTGTCTAGATTGTCATTTATGATGATCAAATCAAAATAGTGGTTGTATGCTCTCTGAATCCGTGCACTTTCATCCACTGTTTTCTTTAAGTCAGAGTCCTGTTGAAGAGTTTTAAAAGGAAATGTTTGTATTACAATGCATATTTACTTGCTCAAACTCCAACTAGAAGTGAATATAATAAACAGGTTAGCTATATTTCTGGTAATTCTGGTATTAATCCTTAAAATCTAATCCATATAGTGTTAAAGACAACGCTGCCATCTGTTCATGTCTTATTCTTTCCAATAATCCTCATGTTTACATTTGTGAGTATTCTGCATCTTCTGTTTGACATAAAATTCCTAATTAAAAGACTGCTGACAATAATCTTAGAGTGAATAATACTGTAGTGAATCTACAGTAACAAAAGAATTACTATAGGTGACTGGTTTCTAGCTCCACTATATTATCCTTTTCGAAAGATTTTTATCTTATGGCCTATGTACATCATGGAACCCAATTTGTAGTGGCTGTTAAGCTCAAAGCCAAATTTGCTACCTTTCTCTAAGATAAGATCACAGAATCTTAGAAGTGTTTTTTGAAGATTAATCTTACATGCTGCCCATCCTCCACCAAAACACATACTCACATACGTTTATTTATGTTTTTGTCCAGGCACTGTTCATAGTTCATAAAGTAGTTTTAGTCATTGTGGAATGATGTGGGGAGTACATAAGCAATGGGTTCTACATGAGTAAAGCTTTTCGTAAGATGGTGTTTTGAATTTCACTATACTTCTATATATTCTACAAATATTTATTGAGTTCCTAGTAAGGTGTCTACTATGTTTCAGAATCAGTGGGTATAACAATGAATAACAGAGAGGGTTCCTATCCTTTAGTGGAGGAGATAAAGAGGAAATAAATATAAAAAATTCCAAGTTGTGATAACTATCATGAAAGAAACAAAACAGGCACAAAGAATTTTAAGAGATCTACTTTAGATAAAGTGATTGGAAAGAGACTGAGTAGTAAATGACAGTTAAGCTGAGAACTAAATGAAAATAAGGAGGTCAGCATCCAGGCAGAGGAAACAGTAGGGCAAAACCCAGAGGAAGGAAATGACCCTGGCACGTTCAAGATACTGAAAGAAGACCGGAATGGGTGAAGGGCTAGGGAACAAGGTAGGTCATGGAGGACCCCTATGTGATCGAAAGACCTCTGTGGGCCTCAAGTGAAAATGTGGCATGACACGAGTGGAAGCAGGGAGACTGATGGCAGGAATCCAAGTCAGAGAAAAGGGCTGCCTAGATTATGGTGGTGACAGAGGAGATGAAAATGACACCAGATAGGAAATTTATTTTGGTGATAAAATAATCAGGATTAGTTTTTTACATCATCCAGGATTTGAAAAGGGAGGAAAATGAATGAGTCATGAATTGCTCTTAGGTTTCTAACTAAGGTAAATGGGTGGCTGTGTGAGATACAGAGTGAAGGGGTGGGGAGAGTATAATTTCTGGGGGAAACAAAGTGTGCTACTTTGTAATATGGTAAGCTTAAGATGTTTGTGAGACATCCAAGTAGAGATGTACAGCAGGTTACTGGTTATGCAAATCAGAGCTCTGAGGTCTGAGCTAGCTGTATATAAATCATTAGCATAACAATGGCATGAATGTAAATGATGTTGATGGAAGCACCCAACAACATCATTTGTGTAGAAAGTGTAGAGAGAGAAGTGGATTCATTGCCAGGCCTGAAGGACCCTAATACTTACATTTCAGCTAATACTGAGATTTCTAAATGAGTTTGAAACAACTAAAATATCTCTGATCACAGATATATAAACAGGCCACAATTCAACTTGAAAGCAATTCTTGCCTATTATAGCCATTAGCAATTTGATTTGTTAAAAAAAAAAAAAAAAAAAAAACCTATTAACAATAATGGAGTATGCCATACAGATGGAACAGGAAATAAAGATTCTCTCTCTGGCTATCGAGTGGTCTCCAGGATATAATGATATGGGAAAAAATGCAGGCACATTTTGTACATAAGGTACGATTTATGTACAAAATGGGGGGGGAGGATACACAGGCACACTTGCTTATATTGGAAACTAATATGGTAAAATGGCTAGCAATAATGGTAGCCAATGTGAGTGGGAGGAAACAAAGGGAGAGGGCACAGACAAGCTGGATTTAAGATTTATGTTGGAGCAATGAAAATGTTGTACAGAATTATACAACAAAATTTAAATTCAAATAAAAGCCATTCTTAAAAATCAGAAGCAAAATAAAACAAATAAGCCTGTGTTCCAAGTTGGTGGTTTAACCATGCAGCAAGGAATTATTTCAGTGGCTTTAAAAGAAGATAGTATCTAGTGGGTTATAAGTGGGAGGTGTACAATGAGAACACATGGACACACGGTGGAAATAATACACACTGGGGCCTGTCAGGGTAGGAGCACAGGGAAGAGAGAGCATCAGGAAGAATAGCCAATAGATGCTGGGCTTAATACGTAGGTGATGGGTTGATCTGTGCAGCAAACCACCATGGCACACGTTCACCTATGTAACAAGCCTGCACATCCTGTACAGGTACCCTGGAACTCAAAACAAAAGTTGAAGGAAAAAAAAAATCTAGTGGTATATATCCTAAGAACAATTAATAAAAGACTGAAACTTCAATCTTTTCACTAATCATATTGTTAATACAGATATTACTCAGAAATTACATATGTGCATGTACTTATATACATGTAAGAAAAGAAATTATGTTAATATAATCACAAACCAAGGTTTTCAGGATAAGAGGAAAAAAAGGCAAATACAAAGCTAAAGAAGAAGAATGTAAAATTTCATTTGAAGCTTTCAAATTGAACAAATGATGTATATGTTTTCTAAAAACAAAAAATTTATTTCCTACCTCTGGTTACTGAAAAGGTCTAAAAACAATGTCCAACTGAGTTTAATGTATACCCTTACTGTCTGAATTATCTTTAAATGCTATCTCCCACTAAAAGAAACAAGGGCTTCTGGATGGCTGGTTCCAGGTCTGGGCCAGGAAATGTAGAATAATCTGGAGCATCTTGTCATATCAGAAAGCAAGCAATTATCAAACACTACTAGAATCATGTTAAAAAGACTCAGAATTCAAATTGAATAGGCTCCTACTAGCTGAAGATACAATAATTTAAACATTAAAAAGAATAACTGACCTAAATACACAGAGATAAGGTACTTCAAGTGACTTTAAAACATAGTGATCTTCCTGGCCAACAGGGTGAAACACCATCTCTACTAAAAATACAAAAGTTAGCTGGGCGTGGTGGCACGTGCCTACAGTCCCAGCTACCCGGGAGGCTGAGGCAGGAGAATGGCTTGAACTCGGGAGGCAGAGGTTGCAGTGAGCCGAGATTGCACCACTGCACTCCAGCCTGGTGACAGAAAAAAACAAAAAAACAAAACCCATAGTGATCTGACTGTATATACTTAGTGGGATATATTCTAAAGACAGAAAGAACTAGGTGGGGAGCTGGGGGGACTGTTCACAGTAATGATACTAGTGGTGGTTGTGTTGATATACTTATTCCCAGAATGTTGTATTTGTACTGTGGAATAAAGCAAATGAGCAATTATATGATATTCTAATTCTAACATTTCCAGTGTTTATGAGAACTGGGATATTCAGCATAAGAGAAAGGAATTAGGCATATAAGATAAAATAAGTTAAATAAAAATCCTGTGATCTTGAATTTGATTGGAAAATATCAGAATAAATTCATGATATATTTTCCTTCAAACATACAAACAGAAAAGCATATATGCTAGCACTGTCCACATAAAAAGGTCTAGCAAGACGCAGTGAGCAACTCTGTGACAATGGGCGCTGTTAGTATTATGGTCTTAAAACACCATTTACCCTAAAAGAAACCAGAGTATCTTGGAAAAATGGCTGGTTCCTGGCCTAGAACAGAAAATATACAAGATGAGCCTGGAACATTTGTTCTACCAGATAGCAAGGAAGCTACCCAAGACTATCAGGGTCATTAAAAAAAAAAAAGGTCTCAAGGGCCAACTAGAATAAGCTCCTATTGGTCAATGATGGGACAATCTTAGCACCAATAAGAATAATCACTGCAACAGAATAAAGCACATCAAATAAGTTTGAACACATGTGCTCAAGAAATTGAAAAAACAAAGCCAATCTCAGCTGGTCACCTGTAACCTCTAGAGGCTCTTGGGGAATAAACCCATTATTCTGAAAGCTGACCTACAAAGGATAGTATCAAAGATGTATCCTGCCTTTCCTGTATCAATCGTACCTTAGAATAATCAACTACTTGATGAGGAAAAGTTCTTTTTAAGAATTCTATTTTATAAACGTAGAAGGAATGACAAACTTAGAATACTACCACTTTGCCATCCCAAAAAAAATAACTTATCCAAGGCAAAGATCAATAAAGTTTGCTAAAACCATTAGGTAAAGAGTTACTGAGGAACTCTGTAGATCAGGCTAACAACTTCTGACCCCACTGATTAATCTCATGACAAAAAGCCTGACGTATGCCTCATGATATAATAAAACAAGTACCACCTATGAATTATTCTTGCAAAAACCAACCAACCACCAACCAAAACCTGAATCTGTGTCTGACCAACCCTCTAGATCGACCTATCAGTTTACAGGAAATAGAAGGGATAGAGGAAAATGATACAATGGGGGCAGAATGGGTAAAATCCAGATTATGGAACATGCTGTAGGATAAATGACCTACTTTTTTTTTTTTTTTTTTTTTTTTAAAAAAATAAAAAAACGTGAAAAGAGAGGGGAGGGAGGGTGGCAGTGAGAATTTACAGATTAAAAGGTACTAAAGGGACATCTGCTTCTAGCCAAGGTGGAATAACAGGCACCAGACTACCTCTCCCACCTAACAATTAATTTATGGACAAAATGTATGAAACAGTTTTTAAGATACTATACATCAAGATATTAAAAACAGATCACAGAAAGATAGAAAACAAATGAAGTGAGTCCTATGATTACTCCAGTTTACTGGCTTGAAAGAATTTATGGGTAGTAGGATACAGAGAGTGAGCCCAGAGGAGCCTACAGGACTGAGTTGAAGACAGAGCTGAGCCCAGGGAGACCCAGGTGGCAAGAGTTTGCAGGACGGAACGCTGGAGGGGAAGAGCAGCACAGGCAGACTTTGGAGATTTGGAGAAGGTCCTTGTCCAGCATTCAGCTGAGTACCAACCTGCACATGGGTACGACCTGAAGCTGAGAAAGAACCACCAGAAAGGATTAGAGGTACCCAGGGATGGCACCTATTCCCCCTTAGCCAGAATAGAAAACCTCATGACTCACAGGCCCTGTGGTAGGAGTACCAAATAGGTCTTGCCTTATTTGTGGGGAATAACTGGCCCTAAAATAAGAACTGCTTGGGTCTTACCCAACAAATTTAAAAACTGAGACCTGAAAAAAACAAACTATTTCCAAATAACTGCATCCTAGAACAAAGCTCACAATGTCTGGCATCCAAAAAAGTTACCAGGATTGCAAAGAAGCAGGAAGATATACCCATAATAAAGGGAAAAATCATTCAATCAAAACCAATCCAGAACTGACTCACATGTTAGAATTTGCAAAGACATTAAACACTTACCATGTTTCATACATTCAGAAAGCAGAGACATGGATCAACTTGAAAAAGAACAAAGAAAACTACTACTACCTGATTTCATGGCATATAACCAAGCACAGTGGGGGGAACGGTGAGAGTGGTGGGAGGAAGGGTGCAGGGAGCAGGTTACACAGGGAAATGTGTGGAGATGATGGACATGTTCATTATTTTGGTTGTAATGGCTTTCATGAGTACAAATATATGGCCAAATTGATCAAGCTGGGCACGTTAGGTATGTACAGCTTACTGTGCATCAATTATACCTCAATTAAGCTGGGAAAAAGATTTAGGTGACAACAAGTAAATTCAATGTGTTGATCTTGTTTGAATACTGATTTGAACAAATCAACTGTTAAAAAAAAACAACAAAACCAAACCTTGGAGAAACTCAAATATAGACTGCATGTAGATGACAGTAAGATACTGCTTATTAATTTTTGTTGTATTAATGGTATGTTTTAAATGTCTTTATCTTTTAGATATAAATATTGAGATATTTATGGATGACATGATATCAAAGATTTGCTTCAAAATAATTCAAGGAGAAGAGGAAGTGGGGAGGGGTCTAATTAAAACAAGAAATTGCCATGATTATTCAAGCTAGGCGATGGACATAAGGGCTCATTTTTCCCCTTTTTTGCATAGATTTTTGAATTTCCATAAGTGAAAAAGGAGAGAGGAAAAAAAGGAAAAAACATGTAATAGAAACTAAACATCAGAACACCTGACTTTACCAATGATAAACCATATAATAAACATGCCTGTTAATGATCTTGGAGCCCAGTCACCCCACTAGTAAAATGAAGGCATTCAATTAATATGCGTATTTTAATATTGGTCTATTTCATTTTACAAAGGGGAACTAAACTTTTGATTTAAAATAAGTATACAATGATTTTCAAGTAAAAGAATACCGTTCCAGATCCTAACTACATCTAATTAATTTTTATTCTGAGGCACCTTATATAGCATGTTTGTTTCATAGCATAATTAGCTAAGAGTTGGCCAGGCACGGTGGCTCCTGCCTGTAATCCCAGCACTTTGGGAGGCCAAGGTGGGCAGATCAGGAGTTCGAGGTCAGGAGTTCGAGACCAGTCTGGCCAACACGGGGAAACCCCGTCTCTACTAAAAATACAAAAATTAGCTGGGCCTGGTGGCACACGCCTGTAATCCCAGCTACTTGGGAGGCTGAGGCAGGAGAATCACTTGAATCTGGGAGGGTGAGGCTGCAGTGAGCTTAGATCGTGTCAATGCATTCCAGCCTGGGCAAGAAGGCAAGACTCTGCCTCAAAAATAAATACATAAAAATAAATTAGATAAGAGTTAAACATGCTCAAAAGAAAAGGAAAGATCTTAGAAGGAAAATCATATGGTTAGCTCACGGTCAGAAGCTTGGTAGTGATTCCTGCATCCACCACAGCCTTGTGCATGGCACGCAACGTCTCTAGCTCTGGAGCCGCAATAAATACCACATAGGGCATAAACTCTGATGTCCTCAATACTTTCAGTGCCTGTGTAAAAGAATAATTATAAGCCAATTTATACAATATTAGAACTAGAATTCTGCTACCCTTTAGTATAAATCAAAGGCTGTTTGCACTTGTTCTATGGATTAAAGAACATAATTTAATACCTATCTCCACTCTGTCATTCTCATTCCATATAGTACTTTCTTAAAATAGTGATCCATTTATTTTGTTCTAAATTCAGTCTGTTCCTCTTGAAGAAACGAAAGTATAAAACAATGATCAAAAACTCATCAAGAGTGATGTAAACTCTTTTTATGTTAATTGTAGAATTCTGTTAATACCGAAAAAGTAGAAATAACCTCAATGTTGATTTATTGGAGAGTGGTTAAATGAATATATATTCATACTATAAAGTACTATATAACAATTACAAAGAAAAAAAAGCTCTACAGTAACTAACCATAAAAAGATCTTCAAGAAACAGTACTATTTAATAAAATCCCTGAAGAATCTATGTAGAATTTTTCCATTTTTGTAAAAAGAAACAACAAAAACAGAAAACCCATTACGTTATATATATTTGTATTTAAGGCATAGTGAAATGACTAGAAAGAGACATAAGAAACTATTAACAACTCTTATCTCTGAGTAGGGAGGTGAGGTTGGGCTGAGTGTAGCGGAGTGGGAAGGGGTAGGTGAGAGAGAGAGAGAAACAGAGTGAGAATAAGAGGTGTGCATGTGTATCAGGTAGGAGGGAGAGTGACTTTAATTTTTTATTCTTTATATTGCAGACTTGAGTTTTAAACTTAACATTTTTTAACGTATGCATTTATGCATTACTTGAACAGGTAAATACATACTAAACTTCTACCATAGATGTAATCACACAGTTTCTATTGCCACCCAAGCCGCTGTTGGCTAATTGTTCAGAGATTTATTTAACTAGCTATGTATACATAATAATATTCTCTATCACCCAAAGGTAATGGAGGGAAAGAGTCACCTTTCCACCCTGACAAAACAAACAACCCCAACCCAATATCCCCGACACATAGAAAATAAAAAAACTCCACAGAAAATAAAATATAACAAACAGCTTTGGAATCCAAGCAGCTTACTTGTGGGTTGACATCCAGAATGCAAGTCCGTCCAGTCTGGACAACCTCAAGAATAGAATCAATTTTGGTTCCATAGAGATTTCCTTCATATTCCCCATGTTCCAAATACTTTCCAGCTTTAATATCTGCTTCCATCTCAGATCGTGACACAAACTTATATGCCTGACCATCTTTTTCATCTTCCCTTGGTTTCCGTGAAGTAACTAAATAAAATAGTGTTGAGACTTTTGTACAAAGAAATTGTAGGACATAAAAAATAGACTAAAATACATAGGGTGGCTTAACATTTTTCCACTTGGTGCAGCAAACTACAGCCTATGACCAAATCTGATGTACTTCTTTAAGTTTTATTGGACCACAGTCATACTCATTTGTTTATGTATCATACATGGTTTCTTTCCCATTAAAATGGTGGTAATTGTGACAGACTGTATGGACTGCAAAGCCTAAAACTTTACCATGTGGCCCTTTAATAGAAAAAGTTTCTTGATACCTTAGAGGAATATTTTAAGAGGTAGTCCCCCAAACAAAATTCGCATCCAAAAATATGCTTCTTAAAATCACTTTGAAACTCAAAATTTTACCTAGCAGCAGAGCCTTCAATGACGTTCTTAATTATGGTGAGTGTCAATAAGTGTGAGGCATGTTGTGAGTGAGTCTTTTCAACTGACGAGCACTCTCCTTCTCCTTAGGAATCCATCACATCCTTTCTTTCCACATTAACACTTCCTAAGTGTCCCAAAAGGTGAGCAAGCAAAGTTCACCTATTCTTAGTTGTAATACCAATTTTGTAAAGTGCAGTTTTACCCACAAATTATCTATCTTTTACCTTACCTCAAAACCAACCCTTTCTTTTAGCTTCCTGTTTATTGATACTCCCAAATGTTAATTGTTCTATTTTATACTTCAGTGGTAGAGCTAGCCGCCTTATTATTATTATGGTCTATTAAACTCCTCTCCTCTGACCAGACATATTATTTCTGGGAAAATGAGATTGAATAGCTCAAGCCAACATTTAGAAGTAGGAGATCCTTTTGTCTGATATTTTATAGCTTTGAATACTTTCAGAGACATACAATCCTTTGCAAGTTGGTCTGTGCTAGGAACGGTTATTACCACTTTCTAAACTGTTGCAAATGTGTACTCTCTGACAACTTTGTTAACAATAACTTTGAAGAAGAAAAGTAATTTTTGAGTGTGTTATTTCAAGCTTAGCCTTACTCTGGGCTTTGCTGCATCAGAGACAAGAAGTATTCTGTTTCTATTAGCTAAGTAGTTGCAGAATAACTGATGGAATTATTAAGAACACCAAATTAAACTAAGAAAGTAATCCAAATAAAAAGATGACAGTGTTTTGACTAATTCTAGTAAGCATAAGGCATAGAAAACTTTTATAAGAACAAAATTAACTTCAAACTCATGCTCAAACATAAGAGTCAAATGAGATCATTATGTATAATAGGACTCCTATTTTTCCCTTGTTTTCTGGCTAAACCTTGAGAGTGGTCATCTTAGACTACTGTGAAGAGTTGTTTATAAAGTATCTTCAAGAATCTTCAAGATGCTATGATGGCTTCTCCTATATAAAATTGTGTCATCTTTAAGGTTTCTGGAATTAGTCACCAAAGGTGTATAATAAAACTTCAAAGGTAACTTTCAATGCTCCAAATAAATGCATAATAGGACTTGCTTCAACATTGTGAACATTAATTTTAAAAAGCAGCTTTTTTTTTTTGTTTTGTGAAGTACTACAGTGAAACCATACAAGGGAATGCACTGCTTGAAATAAATACGTATATGTACATGTACTACCCCTACCTCCATGCTGAGGGAATCTTAATTCTTAGAGAAATGTTCTTCAGTTTACAAGTGAACTTTAACTACAATCCTATTATCTACTAATACTCCAAAAAACAGTCTACGTTGCCACATATTTAAACTGCTTTCCATTTCTAGAACAGAGAAATTAGAACATGGTTTGACTACAACTGATTCCTTAGACTTCTATACTGAGCAACTACATAATGTGATTTTTTAGAAGTAAATTTTTATGACAGGCAAAATTATTAATTTTAGCTGCTATTCAAATAATGAAGAAACAATCAACAAAGTAATACTTAATTTGTTAACTAAGCTCAAGATGTCAATGTTAAAGAGAAAACAGGATTCATAACATAGCCTATCTCCCTAAAATAACAATGTTTTTCTATTTTATTTTAGGATCATTTTGTAATATATAAAGAAAGTTAAATCACCTTAATTTTATAACAGAGAAAATTTTAGAAATTCAAAAATATATGGAAAATAAGCAATATACTCCCAAATAACCAATGGATCAAATAAACAATCACAAGTGAAAGAAAATACTTTGAGAGGAGATGGTGCTGTTGAAGAGCACAGTTACAGATAGAGCTGACCAGGTGCTTCCAGAGTGCCAGTTGTCCAGCAGCATGTTCATTACCTTGAAGATGTATGATAGTTGAACTAAACCCATTCATGCTAAGAAAAGGTTCTGTGGAGGGCTTTAAGCCCTTGATAATTGTCTTAAAAGCTACTGATGGGAAAAAGATCAGCACTGTGATGAGCACTAAAGAGCTGAATCATATGGCTAATTCAAACATATTAAGAGCTAAACGGATGGGCTGAAGAATAGGGACAAAATGAGTTAAGACTAAGCAGCACAGTGAAGGGCACTACATTTCTTGCTTTCGCCAACTAACGGATGAATCGCTATTTCTTCTTTGGTTTTTACTTTTAGTCACAAAGATGGGTTTTCGTTCTGCCAGAGTAACTGTATTCATGTAAGATTTAGGGTCATTGTGGAGGGAAGAAGGGTTGGAACAGAATAGTTGTCATAAGAAGCCAGTTTATTATTTTAGATCTGGCTAACTGGCCTGTGTTGCATAGTTGTATATTCAGGATTATGGTTTTAAAGTCTCTGTAGCCATCTACAGAGACAAGTATCATTGAACATATATATATATATATACACACACACATATATATATCACCCACTCAAAGCAAAAGTATTTTGAGATGAATGAAAACAAAAACACAGCATACCAAAAACTTTAAGACGCAACTAAATGCTTAGAGGGAAATCTATAGCTGTGAAAGCCTATGTTAAAAAAGATCTCAAATCAATAATCTAATTTTCTATCTAAAAAAAACAGAAAGAGAGTAAAATAAACCCAAAGTACAAGTAGAAAGAAAATAATAAAGATTATAGCAAAAATTAGAAAGTAGAAAAAATACAGAAAATCAGCAAAGGTAAAAATTTGGTTGTCTGAAAAGATCAACAAAATTGACAAATCTTTACATAGACTAAGAATAAAAGAGGAAAGACTCAAATATCTAAAATCAGAAATGAAAGAAAAAGTATTACTATGAACCCTGCAGAAATCCTGAAACTGATTAAAAAAAAAATCCAAGTTGACCTATAACAAGAGACTGAATTAATAATCAAAACTTCCCACAAAGTAAAGCCCAGGGTTACATGGCTTCACAGGTGAATTTCATCAAACATTGAACGAATTATAATTAATCCTTTACATACTCTTCCCAAACAATGAAAGAGGAAAGAATACTTCACAACTCATTCTATGAGTCCTGTACTACCATATCAAAGCTAGACAATGACATCGTAAGAATGAAAACTATAGACCAATATCCCTTATAAATATAGATACAAAAATCCTTACAAATTACAAGCAACCGAATCTAGAAGTATATAAAAAAGACGACACATCATAACCAAATGGAATTTACCACAAAAAGACAAGGTTGGCTCAATATATAAAAATCAAGGAATGTAATACATCATATCAATAGAAGACAATAAAAAACAAAAATCATATGAACCATCAACAAAGAAAAAGCATTTGGCAAGATCTAGTACCCTTTCTTGGTAAAAAGCCAACAAAGTAGGAACACAAGGGAACTTCTCCAATCTGATGAAAGGCATCTGTGAAAAACCCACAGCTAAAATGGAAAGACTGAATGCTTTCTCCTTTCTCCTTAAGATCATGAACAAGACAAGGATGTTCACTTTTGCCACTTCTATTACACTATTACACATTACATTGCAGGTTCTAGTTGAGGCAATTAGACAAGACAAAGACATAAACAGCACCCAGACTGGAAAGTAAAACGATCTCTATTTGCAAATGATATGATTTTGTATATAGAAAATCCTGAGGAACCCACACAAAAAAATCATCATTAGAATCAATGAGGTCAATAAGGCTAAAAGACAAAGCCAACACACAAAAATCAGTTTATTTCTATACACTAGCAAGGAACAATCCAAAAAGGAAATTAAGAAAATACTTTTTGCTACAGAATAAAAAAGAACAAAATACTCAGGAATAAATGTGACAAAAGCAGCATAACATTTGTACAATGAAAACCATAAACAGCATTAAAATGAAGACCTAAATAAATGGAAAGACATCTATGCTCATAGACTGGAAGAATTAATACTGTTAAGATAGCACCTGTAATCCCAGCACTTTGGAAGTCTGAGGCGGGTGGATCACCTGAGGTCAGGAGTTCAAAACCAGCCTGGCCAACATGGTGAAAGCAAGGCTCTACTAAAAATACAAAAAAAATTAGCCAGGCAGGATGGTGGGTGCCTGTAATCCCAGCTACTCAGGAGGCTGAGGGAGGAGAATGGCTTGAATCTAGGAGGCAGAGGCTGCAGTGAGCCAAGACCATGCCATTGCACTCCAGCCTGGGCGACAGAGCAAGACACTATCTCAAACAAAACAAAACAAAAAACAAAACAAAACAAAACAAAACAGATGGCAGTAGTCCTCAAGTCAGCTTACTGGCATTTCTATACAAATTATAAGATAAACTTCCAGTTGCTGCAGAAAAGGTAGCTAGAATTCAATATAATCCCTCTTAAAATTCTAGCTACCTTTTCTGCAGAAACTGGAAGCTTATCTTATAATCTATATAGAAATGTCAGGAACCCAGAAAAGCCAAAACAAACTTCAAAAGAAAGAACAAGTTGGGAAGGTTCACAATTCCTGGTTTTGAAACTTAATACAAATATACAGTAATCGAGACAATGTGGGACTGGCATAAGGACAGATATCTAGGTTAATGGAATAGAATTGAGGGTTTATAAATCCATCTTCACGGCCGGGCGCGGTGGCTCAAGCCTGTAATCCCAGCACTTTGGGAGGCCGAGACGGGT